AACATAGAAATATAAAGACATGTAATTTGCCTCTGTTAAAAAAATCATGAATTCTGAAAAGGTACACGCAATGGGAAAAACATGTCTGTTCAAACATATAAACAATCGAACTTATTATTTTATGTATGATCAATATTTTGTTAGGGAAGTCAGCAATCAAACCAATAGCGAACATGTTGTATTTTGCTTGGACAAAATCATATAGAAAAAACTCTAATATCAGAGCAAATGCACACATAGCTTCTAGCTCATGCGTATGTAAGTTTCTTGGTAAATTTTTTCTACTCTTCTTTTTATTGCACACTTACTAAATATATATGTGCATGGGTAGGTGAGACAATATTTTTGAATGTGATGCTTGGATTTTGTTTGTGTGCTTTTTTTTTTCTTAAAATATATGACTGGCTTCGTGTGCATGAAATACACAAGTCTTCCAAATTATTTAAAATTTGATTTTTGCTGAAATTTTATACTGGCTTCATACTAAAATATGATATTTGCCTATGACATGATGCGAAAACACCGGAGTAGCGCAACCACAATTGTTATTAGTGTAAATACTCTTAATATGTTTGGCTGTCAAGACTCGGCTATGCCATACAGTAACACTAGATTCATGAAGAATATTCATAAACACCATATTATACAATAATTGATTATGCTTTATATATTAAGTTTTTATTATTATATTCTTATATCAAATACAATACAATTATTAACTAAATTTTATTACTTAAATCATAAAAAATTTGCAACTATTTGCAAAGTTTAAATATTAAATCCGTTTTGATAATATAGTTTTGTCACATGGAAATTTGTCAAATTTTATATCACATACGTTATTACAACGACAGTTCAAAATACACAAAATCAGCGATAATTTTTTTTATAATAATGAAATTGAATTGAGTATCCATTTAAAAATTTTTTATTTTATTATTTTCTTTTTCAAAAAAGAATACTATTTAAATGGTATTAAAGAAATCTTAGCAAACACTATAAAAAAAGAGAAATAAAAAAGTTTATAATAATAATTGATTTAAGGATCCGATTTACGGGTGCCACAATGAAATTTTGTTAAAAAACTTTTCAATAAAAGTGCTAAATCAAACTGGGTACTTAAGAAAAAAGGGTAAAATTTAACAATAAATTAAAGAAATTGTAAATATTTGAACTTCTGTGTAAAACATTAACTTAATTATATTAATTAATACTTTCAATAAGTTATATCAAATTAATAAGTAATTTTAATTATTAATAACTTTATTATCATATCTTCAATACCATTTAAATGGCAGTACTGAGGGTTTTTTAAACCCAAAAAGTTGTTAATATAGTGCAAAATTTACCAGCATATTAAAAACAATTGTAAAAATTTGAATTTTAATAAAAAATACACTATTTATAAATGTTTAGAAAAATTTCCATGTGACAAAACTATATTATCAAAACGGATTTAATATTTAAACTTTGCAAATAGTTGCAAATTTTTTATGATTTAAGTAATAAAATTTAGTTAATAATTGTATTGTATTTGATATAAGAATATAATAATAAAAACTTAATATATAAAGCATAATCAATTATTGTATAATATGGTGTTTATGAATATTACTGTATGGCATAGCCGAGTCTTGATAGCCAAACATATTAAGAGCATTTACACTAATAACAACTGTGGTTGCGCTACTCCGGTGTTTTCGCATCATGTCATAGGCAAACATCATATTTTAGTATGAAGCCAGTATAAAATTTCAGCAAAAATCAAATTTTAAATAATTTGGAAGACTTGTACATTTCATGCACACGAAGCCAGTCATATATTTTAAGAAAAAAAAGCACACAAACAAAATTCAAGCATCACATTCAAAAATATTATCTCATCTACCCATGCATATATATATTTAATAAGTGTGCAATAAAAAGAAGAGTAGAAAAAATTTACCAAGAAACTTACATACGCATGAACTAGAAGCTATGTGTGAATTTGCTCTGATATTAGAGTTTTTTCTATATGATTTTGTCCAAGCAAAATACAACATATTGGCTATTGGTTTGATTGCTGACTTCACTAACAAAATAGCATTGATCATACATAAAATAATAAGTTCGATTGTTTATACGTTTGAACAGACATGTTTTTCCCATTGCGTGTACCTTTTCAGAATTCATGATTTTTTTAACAGAGGCAAATTACATGTCTTTATATTTCTATGTTTTTGGTTCTACCGAGTTACCGAGAATGTTTGCATACCCCTAATTAAAAGTGTAACCTCTAATACACAATAATAAAATATTTCCATTTTGATACCGATTACTTTTTATTCGATACCAAGTACTCAGAAGTATTGGAATAAAAGTAATCAATATCAAACGCAAAGCAACGAGTATTTATTGGTTTTTATTTAAAGCGGTAATTAAGTTGTTTGTGGATGTTAAAATTTTAATTAAAATAATATGTGGATCAGTTAAAAAAAAGTGTGTGACCTCTGTCACAAAACGACAAATAATAAAACGGATATCTATTTGTTGGGTGATTAGATGGAGTACAAAAAAATTCGAGTTCACTAACATTTTTAATATTAATTTGATATTTTAATAAAAACAATTTTATTTTTAGTTGCTTTCTACCAATCTGCCACAAAACGGGGGAAAATGCGATGACATTTTAGGTTTTTTATTGGATGATATTCGGAAAGAAATTAAGTCATCAAAAAAGCGTCACTGCGTATATTGTACAGAAAAATGCGCTAGCTTAGAATGCCAGAAATGTAATCAATTTTTTCATTTAGAATGTGGCATAATTAATAAATGCTTGCTTTAATTTGCTGATGATTTTCGGTCGTACTGCGATTTATATCTGCCATTAGACGACAATTAAAGTAAATTAATGAAAATCCCACCAGCGTTCAACGAGTACTGTTGTTGGATATGCGAAGAAATAACGGGCTTTTACTTTCCAAACTTATGGATTTATGGTAAATGTTGTGGAAATGGCTATGTACATCGCCCATGCATGCAAAAGTATGCATCCACTGCAGGATACTATTTAAAGTGTATTTGGTGTAGAGATGAACAGTTTCCTGAAATAGTGAAGAATCAAGGTATATTCGTACCCGACCGCGTTGCAGAGTGGGAACAAGAAGAAGGTGCCTTTAGTGATTTGCACCTCAGACATCATTGTGATATAGAAACATGCCTAACATATGTCCCAGTGGACGGAATTATATAGGAGATAAAGTTAATGGTATTATTTTTATATCAATTAAAAATGTATTAGTAATTAAAAATATAAAATTTAGGTAAATGGAATTTAATTCTGTGTAAATTGTGTGGTTCTGTTGGAGGTCATAATCCTTGCATTATGAGGAATATCAAGTCTTCCGAAATAGTTAAAGAATTTAAATGTGAATTATGTTATGATAGAAGCACGTATGCAACAGAAAAATAAAACTTGTAAAACAAATGAAGTAGAAATTGAAAACCCAGAAACTCCCGAAAAGTCGGCAGCTAAAGATAAAGATCTTGACAGAAGTATCTTCCAAACTAAAAGGCTAAGCTTGCTGCAAAAGGAGAGTCATACAAATGAAGCACATTTATTTTCGGAAGAAATGATGAATTTAATGTAACTTTATGTAGTTACATTAAAAAAGCATTAAAAAACCTACTCCATTAGTTATACAAAATTCGGAACAAAAGGTTGAAATACATAATACTGATGTTGTTGCAATAGAAAGTCAGAATATGGAAGCTGATGATATGCTCAATCAGAATGCCAATCAATATAGTACAACTATTACAATCTTTGAAGACTCAGAATTTTGGAATGAATCTAATGAATACAATAAGTGATATATCTACGATCAGTTTAGACTGATCCTTAGAAGAAATAAATATAAATATTTTATTTATAATCTAAAATATAACCATGTATAGTATATTGTTAAACTAGTTATGTTATAAATTAAATTAAATATGTATATTGAAGTGTTGAATTATTTTTGTACATATGAATAAATTTCAGTTAATGAGTGCGACGCTCCTCAAGTTTTAACTTTATCTTTACTTTCACTAAGTGCCAAATACACTCTCACTATATTACTGCTACAAAATTTTTGTGATATTAATAATTCTTTTAATAATTATTTATTTAATTGAATGTAATTTCAACTAACGCAAGTTTATTTTTATCACAATAACTTAATTATTAAATATATATAAACAAAATACTTAATACGTACGAAGTAATTGGCCAATTTGTATAAAAAAGGACAATTTCACTTTTAGCGACAATAAAAATTTTATCACCAAAAATAATCAATTTAAGAGCAATTGTAATCGTCTTCAACGATATTTGGCGATTGCCAATTTAGCAGAATACGAAATTTACAAATTTAAAGTTTTTTCCAGGGCAATCAGCTGTTTTTGAAAGTTTAGAAAATTTGGGAATAGAAATTAAGCATAATAAGTTAGTAGAATCGCAAAAGTCGCTAAAATGCATTTAAAGAATTTTAACGATAGAGTTTTAGCGATAGCGATTAAACATTACACATTACACATAACATTTATTTTTTAAGAGTGTCCTAAATCTGGCAACGTTGCTTTCTTGCTGACATCTGAAATGTCAAAAGCGTTTGTTGTGCTTTCTGTAGGGTTTTCGAGAAATTTTTGCATTGTTTGTTAAAAAAAAAATATTAAATTAAATTTTAATGATATGTTAAATATTCAAAATTATGGCAGCTCTTCTGGAAGTGATAATGAGAACGATGAAAAATTATCAGAAGTCAAAAAGGTTCGAGAAACTTCACACTTAAAGCCAATCGATCCTAAGTTATCAATAGCTAAGACGCTGGCGGTGTGTGCAGCACCAGAAGTAGTACCTATAGGCGCCACAGCAGTACCATTTGCGATTGATCCTACAGTAAAAGAACTCGATTATAACCCAAAGTATGAAGAGTTATTTGCGCCCATACAGGGGCCCATACAACCCAATCAAGCGATGCAGTTGTCCGCAACAAGAAATACGCTTGCTGGTTACGTTGAGCAAGCCCATATTAATGCATTTGAGTTTGAAAATCAACGCCGTACATTTCATACCTACGGTTACGCCATGGATCCTTCTGTTGACGAAACTATTGATGGTCAATCGTTTGTAGGAGACTTACAATCGGCCTACGATGATAATGGCAAAACAGTTTTTGAGTCACCTAAGTCAAAAAAGAAGCGAAAACAAGAAAAAAATGACAATCCTGAGGATATTGATGGTTTCGTTGGTCCTTGGGGGAAATATGAAAATGAACAGTCAATAGCGCGTCCTAATGATGAAGAAAAAGCAGAGTTAGAAGAAATATTAGCAAAAAGACATAGACGAGGTCGTATACCAGAAGATAAACCTTTAGAAGAAAAATCTACATTGCACAGTAATACAAAAAATTTCCTTATTTTCACTTATATTCCACAGATAATATATAATTTTTTTTTTTAACAGTCAAAGATGCTTATGATTATCAAGGTCGCTCATTCTTGCATGCCCCACATGATTTAGATGTAAATTTACGCTCCCATGCACCACCTCCGAAATGCTTTTTACCAAAAGCACACATTCACACGTGGACTGGTCACAACAAAGGCATTACTTCTATTCGCTGGTTTCCACAAACTGCGCATTTATTGCTTTCTGGATCTATGGATAGTCGCATAAAGTTGTGGGAAGTTTATGGGGAACGTCGTTGTATACGTACGTATATGGGTCACCGACAAGCTATTAAGGATATATGCTTTAACAATAAAGGCACAAAGTTTTTATCAGCGTCTTATGATCGTTACATTAAGTTATGGGATGCTGAGACCGGTGATATAGTTTCACGATTTACAGCACGAAAAATGCCTTTCTGCGTGAAGTTTCATCCAGATAACAATAAGCAGCACTTGTTTGTTGCCGGCACCTCTGATAAGAAAATCATTTGCGTAAGTGTTGCTGTATAGAATTGAATGAATGATATTAGAATTTACCATTTCACTTATTTTCAGTGGGACACCAGAAGTGGGGATATTGTTCAAGAATATGACAGACATTTAGGTGCCGTGAATACCATCACATTTGTGGACGAAAATCGAAGATTTGTAACTACATCTGATGATAAATCAATGCGTATCTGGGAATGGGATATACCAGTCGATATGAAGTACATAGCAGATCCCACGATGCATTCAATGCCTGCTGTGACATTAGCACCAAACGAGAAATGGCTTGCCTGTCAGTCTCTTGACAACAAAATTGTAATCTTTTCCGCAAGGAACCGATTCAAAATGAACCGCAAGAAGTCTTTTAGTGGACATATGGTATCAGGCTACGCATGTCAGCTAGACTTTTCACCAGATATGAGCTATCTGGTATCTGGCGATGGCGATGGAAAATGTTACATTTGGGATTGGAAAACGACAAAAATGTATAAAAAATGGCAGGCACATGAAGGTGTATGCATAACTGCACTGTGGCACCCGCACGAAGCCAGTAAAGTAGTAACAGCAGGTTGGGACGGCGTTATCAAGTTCTGGGATTAATTTTTATAATATAATTGTCAAATATAATCATTAATATTATTCAAATGTAGTTTTACTTTAAAATTTAAAATCAATTTGTTAAATTTTTCATTTGGTCGCTGTATGTAAATGGAGTTTTGAGCAGATATATATTGAACCTTCATCCTGGATCCTTTGCCATGTAAACAAATCCAACAGGTCGAAAAAAATACAACAATCACAGCAGAAAACTTGTTTACCATTGTAGGAACATGCGCACTAGTTTGGCGCTCTTAGCACAGGGAAATGTCAACAAAATGAGTTTTGCAATTGTCAAAGCATTGAAAACACACTACTCATCCCTTCAACAGCTTTTATTCCATATGCGAATTGTCTTCTAAAGTAAAATAATCGATTTTACACACGAAGAGAAGTAAACGAATTTTGGTTGCAGCTAAAAGATATTCTGGAGAAATTATTTTGTAATTCACACACACAAAATTAATAAAAAGGCAATTTAAATATTTATTTTTGTCTGCCGTTATTTAGTTTGGAGTTTGAAAACGAATCCAATAATGTTACTGATGGTGAAGTTCAATTGAGTGAACAAAGTCATAAAATTATAACAAATCAAAACAAATTTTAAACTTACCCATATATTACATAACAGGCGTAATATGTCAAAACCTCCAATGGACACATCGGGGCTTGGTTACTCCTACCATCTACCTTCAGGTGGTTTGTTATTACGTCTGAAAAATTCCCTTTCACAATTCAGCGACCTCTTCAGTGAGTTCAACAAATACATAGCACCCGCTTATTACCATGACCGTTGTGAACGGTCCGTACACATGCGACTTTATTCTATGCACAAGCGTGAGTTTGTGATGGTATTCATGAGTTTCTTCACCTGCTTTGGGCTGGCTATAATAATTGGATTAACGGGTCCTCCTATCACCAGCACAACAGAAGTTAGTGCACAAAGCATTTTGGTCAACACAACGTTATCAACTAGTAAGACTGTGTTATCCACTGGTCCTTTCGCTATGAAAACTCCTCTCATGACAACATATAAGCAGCAGCTATGGCTTATTGCAAAATTTTTTACAGATAATAATGACGGTAAGTCCTCAAAAGTGATAATGAATGATAATACCTGAACTATTCTTTTATTGCAGATGAAAGATATGACAAAAGCTTTCACGTAAGCGTTGCTATTGATGGTATTACAGAGCAACACAAACCAGAGAGCATATTGAGTGTGAATTCAATACGAAACCGAACACGACACTTAAACTGTGTACGAAATGACTGTGAAGAGTTTACAGTACTTCATTTAGGATTCTTGGAATACGCACACTATGTAGTTACAATACGTTTCTATGGATTGGAATCTTTCCATAAAAAATACAATATAAGAGCAATCACATTTTATGTAAGTTACTTTCACAAAATTCTTCTATTAGTTCTAATGGTTCTTCTACTTTAACTACAGTTTAAAACCTACAGTCCAGAATTTACCCAAATTGAAATATGGTTTCGTTTTATATTCTTGTTGTTAAGTTTTATAGTCATTGTAAGTGACTGACCTTAAGTACAAAAACGATATAATTGTATGGAATTTTTGTTGCAGTGTTGGTATGCGCACACGCTACGGAAGTACCCCATCTATGACTGGTCGATTGAACAGAAATGGATGTCTGTTTTGTTGCCGCTTCTGCTTCTTTATGACAGTAAGTATACCAGTTAGTATATTTGTAATTATTTTTGAATGATGCATTTCTTCAGATCCATTCTTTCCCATGATATTCCTGATGAACTCTTGGTTCCCGGGTATGTTAGATGCGGTGTTTCAGGCTACTTTTCTCTGTGCGTTACTCATGTTTTGGTTATGTGTTTACCATGGCCTTAGACAAAATGAAAGGCGCTTTTTACGCTTCTATTTGCCAAAAATTATCGTAGTTTTGCCGATCTGGTTATGCGCAATTGTACTTGCAACGTGGGAAAAGTGCAATGAATTACGGGATCCCACCTACAGTCACTTTGTCGATACGAAGAACTACAATGTCTGTACACACTTTAAATGAAATACAATAGAACTTTTAAATAATATGTTTGCAGGGCTTTAAGATGTTTTTCTACGTTGCGGGATGTATGTATATTTTGTACCTTGCACTACTGGTGCTGAGAGCGTACACGGAATTAAGATCGATGCCATTCTTTGGTAAATAACATTGTGTAGAGTGGAAAATGAGAGAGTACATTAATATCATATATTTGTTACAGATATGAGGTTAAAGTTCCTTACACTACTGATGCTGTTCGTACTATCTATTTCTTTAAGCGTCACTACATGTCGATTTGGTTTTGGCATTTTGGAGGATAATTTTGTCGCTTCACTTAACACTACATACCGTAGCTCTGCACAATTCATGTGCTTCTACGGCCTTCTTAATTTTTACTTGTTTACGATGGCTTATGTGTATTCACCAAATGAACATTTTGCTCAAGGTTAGGTTCAATACTTTACGTAAATAAATTATTACATTCATTTAAATGGTTTCAGCGGATATACACGTGACCAAAGACAATCCAGCCTTTTCGATGATTAACGATTCAGATGAAGAAGTCGTCTATGGCTCGGAAGATGAGTCGAGACGACCTCTAACAGTTGGTACTAAAAACGATTATGACAGCGATTAATAATAGCTACGGTGCGATGGACTATTCGAGAAGTTGTTTTTTCTAAACGTTATTGAAATATATTCAACACAGATATCGTAACAAATTATTAAGTATGTAATTCATAGGAATATTTTATTCATTTCTACCAATATAAGTTGAAAATGTAATTTACAATCAGAAAGTTGAAATAAATGCATTATAATGCATTATAAATGCATAACTAAACATCAACTTCTCTTTTTTGAGTTGTTTTTTTGCCCAACGCGCTTTTACTATTCCTAAGTGTAGCAATAAAAGCTGACAGATATTTTTAAATAAACATGAATCCAACACATTCAAAAAGAAAGTATACTATAATTTTTCATAAAAATCGTCTTCATAGATTTTTCAGTTTTAAATTTAAAATAATTTGACAGCAAAATTAATTAAAAAAATAAGGGTACAAGTTTTTTGTGGGGTTTGTTCAGTGCATGTAATATTACAAATTATTACAATTATAAATTAACAATCTTAAAACATGCAATATAAATTTATATACATACATTCCTAATATATATTATATTCACTTTATGTGGATTACATTATTTACAAGATACACTAATTAATAAGGTTTTATGAGAAAATAAATTTATTGCATAACTTATAATTTTACATATATCATTACCAAATGAGTACCCATACAATTCATAAAATTATAGTGGATATTAGGTCTGTTCCACGAGCTACTCGTAGTAACTTTGAGTAAAACTGTGTTTTTATTAAGTGCGTTCCACCAGCAAATTTTGGAGTAAATGAGAGCATGTGAGAGCGTAACAACCCTGTCAAAATTTGAAAAAGCTACACATACTTTAGTCGTACATTTTATTTCAAGTAAAATTTTTGCTCATGTATATATCAGCTGTTTGTGCGGCAATGGTGTTCTCACCAGACTTTACACAAAGCTATTCCACGAAAATTTTGTGTAAAGAGCAAAATTTGACACTTTATTTGTGTTACGCTCTCAGTTTGCACTTTACTTGTGTTTTACTTGAGTTTTACTATGAGTAGCTCGTGGAACAGACCTATTATGAAATGTCTATTGGTAGATAATAAACGTTTCTCTACTAAAGGCTTTTTCTTTTCTTTTTCTATTATTTTTAAGATTAATTGCACTTTTTAAAATTTTGTTATCATGGCGGTGACAACTTTCTAATGTTTCACCTATTTTTACATAAACTACATAAATGAGTTCATTAGAAGACAACTGTACCAACCGTTGATCTTTCGAATTATCAGTTCGACATGTGCTAGACATGTGTAATTCGACATTTAATAAATTCAAAAAGTTCAACATATTAAGAAGAGGTTTATTGTTTAGGGCTTAATTATTTTAATTTTAATTTGTAATTTGCAAGTAAGACAATTTTTACATCAGCTAATAAAAAAAAAGAGCAATTACTCTGCATTCATTTGTGTGCGAGGTGTTTGGTGACCGGACTGAAATTCTATTTGTTTTTATGTAGTTTTGCGTTATATATAGCCCATCAAAATTGATAATGAAATCTACGTACACTAAGTTCTTGATAACTAATTCAGTGTTTTAGTGTACGTACAACTCCTATTAAAAAATTTAAGTGTCCAATTATTATATTATATTATATGTCTAATTAAAAATTTAATTAAATAAATTGATCAATTATAATATTATGACAAACACTTACAATAATGTGTGGTTAGCTCAATCCGTACAATGATAACATATGTAAACAATTTCAATAAAATTGTTCGTAGCACATTGGCAACTCTGTTTAGTTGGTAAGAGTGTTACACTGTATTGCTTTGATCACCACTTTCTTTGTGTTTGGCGTTATTTTAGTTTCTGCTCTTTTGATCGGTGGATGTGTCGCTCTCGCGAAGTCTTGTTTGTTTTGAATAAGGATATAATACATATTGTGATAGGAATTTTATGTTAAATTTGAGAAGAAAAATTAAACGATTTTTGTACAGAAATTTATGAATATTTACTTTACACTTGTGTGAAAGATAATGTGTACGTGATTACATATTTGAAAAATCATATTTTAGATAGTTTTCTGTTTGATTTTAAACAAGTAACAATATGGATATATGTTATAATAATATTTATTTTTAACAATTATTTTAAAAAATTCTAAGTCCAATATAAAACTGTTGTGGAAGTAGAACACACAATTGTAATCTTCAACAAAAACACCAATGGACGATGTGCTTGCTAAACAATTAAAATAAAAAGTAAAACGTTAGAATACAGCAACGAAAACCTGCAGAAAATTTCCAGCTTTCTTCGACGATTTATAGGTGCTCAAAGCCTTACTTTCGAGTGCAACTGGAGTAAGCCACGCAGCTGGTTTTGTTGACGTTTGCAAAAGGTGCAGTCAGAACAAAACAACAAAACGATCAACAGGTAAATACTGCTCTAGTCTTTAAATGCTTCGTTTCTTTTGCTTCGAAGTTTGTTTGCCTTCACCCTTCTTTGTATATCGTTGCCATACAACGCAATTATATAATTCTATTATAAACGATTTGTAATAGAGAAAACCTTTTTGTGGGTATAGATATTGATATATTTATATAAATTATACGACACTATGATTAAATACCGCAAGAGGAATGGACTAAAAATGCACTCTAAATTCCAGATTCAAGGATTTGAAATCGATATTTTTTGCCTTGGTATAGTTAGTATGGATGTAAGTAAAGTAAATCTGGATTTCAAATAGTTTGATTTAAATGAATTAGTAACTTAGTCAATATTTAATATATGATTTAATATTTAATCAATATTTAATATATTAATGGAATACCATAAATTTTGCCTAATTAAATTTTGTCGCAATGATTAACTTACGAGTTATTTGTCTATCAAATATTAAAAAACTATTAAAGTAAATTTAATTGCGAACGTGACTGGGGCTTAATTCATTACATGCATCTATATCAGCTTTGTTGTGTAGGGTTTGGTCGCGCTTACCGAATGCCCATGTACGACATCGCACGCACAACTAAGTAAACATTTGGCTTTCTCAAACCGGGGAATGCGGGACATCATCCTGCATGCATCAACCGTTTACGGATAATGCGTCATTGGTTGCTTGCTTCGATCTGCACAATACACATTATTGGTATACGCAGTGCGGACCATCCTTGAATAATAAGAAAATACTTGAATTGTAGACTCTTCAACGTGCGTGTCGTATATCCATCAACAAAATTCGACATTCATTATTATCGGAAATCCAATTCGGCGGATGTGTTCGCAATGAAATAATTAATTCTGTTTCTGCTTTGCTGATGATGGTGTGGTGACCGTGACTCTGCAAATGCAATCGCCCGTCATTGAGCTCCGTAATTCGTTGGCATAAAACTTAAAATCACAACAATAAACCTAAGTATAGTCTCTTGTGGAAGCGAATTGTTTATATAGGCAATTACCGGCCGGTTCGCCACGCCAACGCGCACACGACATTTTCGATGACAACAGTACAGAAATGTGTAAAGTAGTGCCCCTGTCTGTCGGTCACATTTCGGTGCGTGTTTCAAATTAAGGAGAAAATATAAAACAATTTCATAAAACAACTTTAAAATTTTCAACTATTTGAAATATTATACTTTTATCAACAATTTGCTCACTCGCTGCGTGACATAGTGACTAAATCTCCTTCCTCTTCATTCAAAGTTCACGCATCTGTTGTTTCGGATTTAAGGCCGTTTCTATGGCGATTGATGCCTGTTTGTCTAAAACAGCGTGATGCGAATGTAGGCAATGAGTCTAGCGTGCCTACTACTTAAAACGATCTGAACCCTTTTCGATATTATTCAAAACAGCTGCTCTGATTCATTGGAACTTAGTCCAACGAATTCAAACATTCTTAAAACTCTGGAGCCAAATATTCAAGCTTTTTGTTTCTAAATCTCTTAGTTGGTGAAAAGTTTCAAAACTCCAAATCCACATTTCTTTTTTAGTTGTTTTTTAATTTAGCAAAATGTGTCAATTCGTAATTTGTCATTAAGTTTATGTCATGAATCAATCGCATTATGCAAATCATTTTATTTTATTTTGTTGATAGCTCTGTTATTGTTTTCGAATGAGGAAACAAAAGGTAGAGAAAGTACGATGCAGTCAGTCTCAACTCTGTCTTGATAAATTTACATAGTTGGCTTTTTAATTGTTAATTTTTCTTACATAAAATTTTAATATACAAAATAAATGAATGGGTTATTTTGTGGTAGTCTATCAGGGTCAAGAAGGCAATTCATCATCTTTCGTAGTCATTTGATATATTGTGTTTCCTCCTCGATAAAAAGCAATCAAAATCATTTGTTTTTATTCCTTTTAAAAAACTACAAAACTTTAATTAATATCTGCCAAACCTAACAATGAAGACGTCAAAGATGTATGTAAAGTATGAGTACTGTGTCTCTACGTCTCTACGTCTACGTTGATGTAGCGTACATCATATCTCACTTTTCAATGAGACCATCTTTCCACACTCAGATCGTATTTGATATATAATATCAAGTTTCGTTCAACTACCAAACACACACGATTCCATCAATTGCATACGCTTAAGCGGACTATATTCTCCAATGTGAACATGATATGAACTGTAAGGAGTAATGTCCACAATATCTTTTTATTTATTTTATTTATTTTTATTTAATTTATTTATTTTTATTTAATTTATTTATTTATTTATTTCAGCTTTTGGTTAATTTGATTTATTATTTTTAATATCTGGCTTAATTAATTTAGTAAAAATTTTGACCTGGTCAAATTATTTACAAAATTGATTTATTACCAATTATATTGTTCAATTCAAAACTCAATATATTTCAAATAATAATATGTCTTAAAGTTTAGATTGAATTAAATATTATGCTCAGAATAACAAAACAACAAATTCGCATGAATTCCAAGAAGTTTCTTAAAAAACAAAACTCTGGAATTGCATTTAAGTAATTGCACTAAATTAATACAGATAATTGGGGAAGAAACTCAG